AGAGTTTCAGAACAAGGAGCAAACAGCTCGAAGGACACTCGAGAATTGCCAAGCAGACTTGAAAGAGACTAACGAATTTCGACAGAAACTAGAGAATTTGAATACAAGGAGCAGGCCGTGCGAAAGGAACTAGAGAATTTCAGAACAAACGGCAAACAGCTCGAAAGACACTAGAGAAGTAAAAAGAAACAAACCGCTCGAAAGGAACTAGAGAATATCAGAGCAAGTTGCAAACCGCTCGAAAGAGACTAGAGCATTTCGAAAAGGGGTTAGACAAATTGAAAGCAAGGAGCAAACCGCTCGAAAGGAACTAGAGCGTCTCAGCAGAAGGAGCAAACCGATCGAACAAGACGAGAGAATTTCGAAAGACACTAGAGAATTTGAGTGCAAGAAGAGCCGCTCGAAAGGAACTAGAGAATTTCAGAAGAAGGAGCAAACCGCTGGAAAGAGACTAGAAAATTTCGAAAGAGACTAGAGAAGTAGTTGAAAACAAGGAGCAAACCGCTCGAAAGGAACTAGAGAATTACAAGGAGCAAAATCCGGTCGAACGCGGCTAGAGAATTTCGAAAGAGACACGAGAAATTGAAAGCAAGCAACAAACCGCCTGAAAGTAACTAGAGAATTTTCAGAAGAAGGAGCAAACCGCTCGAAAGAGACTAGAGAATTGCAGAAGAAGGGGCAACCCCGCTGGAAAGAGACTAGCAAATTTCGAAAGAGACTAGAGAAGTAGTTGAAAACAAGGAGCAAACCGCTCGAAAGGAACTAGAGAATTACAAGGAGCAAAATCCTGTCGAAAGGGGCTAGAGAATTTCGAAAGAGACACGAGAAATTGAAAACAAGCAACAAACCGCCTGAAAGTAACTAGAGAATTTTCAGAAGAAGGAGCAAACCGCTCGAAAGAGACTAGAGAATTTCGCAAGAGACTAGAGAGTTTGAAAACAACAGGCAAATTTTCAGAAAAGGGGGCAACCCGTTCCAAACAGACTAAAGAAATTGAAAACAAGGAGCAAGCCGCTCGGAAGGAACTAGAGAATTTTCACAAGCAGGAGCAAGCCGCTTGAAAGAGACAAATTTCGCAAGAGGCTCGAAAGCGACTGGAGAATTTCTGAAGAAGGAGCAAACTGCTCCAAAGAGACTAGAGAATTTCGAAAGAGACTAGAGAAATTCAGAAGAAGGAGTAAACCGCTCGAAAGGACTTAGAGAATTTCAGAGCAAGGAGGAAACCGCTCGAAAGAGACTAGAGAATTTCGATAGAGACTAGAGAGTTTGACAACAAGGAGAATGCCGCTCGAGAGGAACTAGGGAATTTCAGAACAAAGGGCAAACCGCTCGAAAGAGAGCAGAGAATTTCGAAAGAGACTAGATGATCGTGTCTCGAGGTGCTACGGCCGAATGGCCCATGCGCAAGAATGACACGCGCAACTCGAGATTGCTTGGCAGCATGATTGGCCCAAAACTGTCCTGTGAGAGTGTAGGCCCCAAGCTAAAATATTTCACTATGGTAGCTGTGTAAGTGAAAGACGACGTGCGAGAAAGCTGAGTGAAGATGGATCCGCCAGATCCGTCAACATCGGCTGTGGCACCGAGTGTAGCTCAGTTTTTGCAGCAAGCGGGCATCACATCGCAAGAAGAAGTGGCCAATCGATTGTTGGCCATGCAGCAACAGATAGACACCCAAGCTCAACAGCAGCAGCAGTCGCAAGTGCAGCTCCGAGAAGCGGTTGTCATGATGCGAGCTTTGCAAGGTCAGCTCAGTGATGCTATGTCCAGAGTGCAAGCGGCAGAGCAGGAGAGGAGAGATGCATTGAGGGTTGCAGCAGCGGCAGTAGGCAGGTAGATAGCAAGGGTGTTGGCCAGCCGTTCAAGTACAACGGTGGGGCCGATCAAGACTGGAGTCACAAAGTCACCACGTACTTGAAGGCCAAGTTCGGCTTCGAAGTAGCAAAGGCTTTGAAGTGGGCAGTGCAGCAGCGAAAGACGATTGTGGAACATCTCCCAGGAGGAGCGCTTACCAGTGCAGATGGCCGCCAGATTGCGTTTGACCCTGTCTACGGAGAGCAGGCAGATGAGATGGATCGCATTCCCAATCTTTCAAAGACCGTCGTTGGCATCTACACGTACCTGATTGCTTTTACAACAGGGGATTCCAACAAGATTGTGCACAATGCCGGGTCCGATGCCGGATTGGAGGCCTGGCGACGGCTCCACAACGAGTACGACCCAACCTCGGCGATGCGACGTGTCACGATTTTGGGCTTGGTTCAGAATCCACCCAAATGCGAAAAGATTGAGAACTTGGGCTCCGCACTTGAGGATTGGTTGGCAAAGAAGCGGCAATACGAGGCGTTCACAGACCAGCGAGGAAGGCCATGTCGCATTTCAGATGACTCCCTCATGGCAGCCATGTCATGCCTACGTCTTTGGAGCAACAGGTGATGTTCCATTCAGACGAGTATGACAGCTTTGAAGATCTCTATGATTTGAAGATCTCTATGATCGTTTGGTGGCCTGAGCCTCAACGAAGCACTCATTGAAGAAAGGTTGGTGCCTCAACACCGATGGATGTTGATGTTCTTGTCCAGAAGGGCAAGGGGTCATTCAAGGGCAAGTGCAGCAATTGTGGTCGGACGGGCCACAAAGCAGCTGATTGCCGCGCTCAGGGCGCGGGACTACAGCAGGGGGTGCAACAGCAGCAAAGGCAAAGGCAAGGGAGCAGGAGCAGGACAGAGCTACGAGGAGGGAAGTGCCAAAGGAAGGACAAGACACAAGGAAAGGGCCAAGGAGGAAAGAAGGGAAAAGGCAAGGAGGCTTCAGCGCAGTGGAGTGGGAGGAGCAGGAAGGATGGGACCAAGAAGGATGGGATGGATGGTGGTCCTCATCGTGGAGTGAGCAGCCGGCGTCCGAACCGCCTGCCAAAGCTGATCAGCAAGCAGGCGGCATTGGAAGCTTAGACTTGAACCACCTCGCCAACGGAAAAAGGAGGAGTTTTGCAGCCTACGCTACGAAAGTTCACAAGCCAATCGGCTCAGCTGCTGAGTTCAGCAGCGCCCATGACTGTGTGTTGTGGGCGGAGGGTGGCTCTCTCATTCCCAAGAACAGCGCGCTTGCAATCGGACTTCGCAAAGAATACTATCGCTTGAAGGAGATCCATGGTGAATGCGATGAGCTCCCGCTCTACCGTGAAGGCAACTTATATAACATGTACCTGAAGCAGGATGGTGTGCCTGAGCAGCTCAGTCCGTTGCAGGAGGCGTCTACTTCGTCTGGGGCCTCGGCCGCGGACGGTCGTCAGTCGGGAAACGCCCGGCAGGCGAAGGAGCTGTAAGGCCGAACACAGAACAAGGAGCACAGGAGCCTTCTGATGAAGACCATTGGAAGGTGGAAGGTGGCAAAGCTCGTGAGATATCATGTTTCACTGCGGCGTTCCCTTTTCTCGCCGCACCAAGCAAGCAACATCCCGGTGAACAGAGATCTCATTTTGGGATCCAGAACGACGGAGGCGATCTTTGAGGACGGCTCTGTTGAGACGGTGGAGGATGATTGGACAGCGCGAAGAAGCGCCGACAAACGTCTCAAAGCACGGTGGTTCGGACGCTCAATTTTCACATGCAGAGGAAAGCCAGCCGAACCTGAAGTAGCTGAGAGGAAGGAAGGCTTATGTAGGGTGGAAGAGGAGCCCGCTGAAGGAGGAGGAGCTGCAAGCAGTGAGCCGCCTCACGGGGAGTCTGAGGAGTTTCGCAAAAGCAGAGCTGCAACAGAACCAACGCCTAAGCAGAGAGAAAACCATTTCTTGGAGAATCACGCCGTGTGTCGCCCGTGGTGCGAAGTGTGTGTGAAGAGCCGCGGCCTTGGAACTCAACATAGGAGGACCTTGAAGAAGGAGGCCGCTGAAAGATCAGAAGGTCCACGCATCTTTTCTGACTACTTCTTCTTGTCCACCGATGAAGACAGTGTTCCCATGCTGGCTTTGAAGTTCAGTCACTCGAAGAGGATTGCCGCCACAGCATTGCCTCGAAAGGGCATCTCCGAGCTGGGCTGCAAGTTCATGTCCAATTTCAGCAAGATGACAGGTGTGAAGCGTTTTGTCAATTTTTCTGACGGTGAACCTGCCATGAAGGCTCTGAAAGAGGAGTCTGCGAGGAAGGTGGCTGAAGTCGATGCTATTCCTCGTGAGTGTCCCGTTGGTGATCATCAAAAGAAAGGCGAGATCGAGTCTGCCGTTCGAGAGCTGAAGCGTCAGATGCGAGCAGTGAGGATGAGGTTGCAAGGCCGCCTCTGGCGAGCCTTAGCAGATGACGATCCCCTTTTGATACTCGCAGGTGATTACATTGCATTCCATCGCAGGGGTGCAGATGGCAAGACACCTCGGGAAAGAGAGACTGGCCGAAAGTGGCGCCGTCCTTGTTTGGAGTTCGGTGAGAAGGTGATGATCAAGGAAGCTTACGGCAGAAGCAGCGGTCCAAAGAGAGACTGGCAAGCGAGGATGATACCCGTTAGGTATGTTGGGCATCAAGCACGGACTGGTGCGGTCATGGGCCTCACCTCGGCAGCCGTACTTCTCGGGCTTCACATCTTCGCGCGTCACATAAAACGATCGCGGTGCGGGTCTCCCCGCCGGAAGGTGTGGAAAGCGAGGAACCGAAACACCTTCTGCATCAACGACTGCCCTTGCCTCTCGCAGACGTGGCTGCAGATCCCAAGGCAGCCCACGAAGCTCCTCAAGACCTTCAGCGCTCCAGCGTGCTGAAGCTGTCAGTCTGCTCACACCCGCGCCAAACTTCACACCTTCCCAGGTCCTGTGACAACATTATGAGGACTGGGAAGAGCGATGCGCGGCACAACACTGAGTTTCGAGAGCGGGTCTTCAGGCTTATGCAGCGCGATGAGAGCATTCGTGTCAAAGACGACCACAACAGGGTTCAGGAAGCAGCAGCCAAGCAGCCGCAAGTGCCACAGCAGCCACAGCCAGAGGAGCAGCAGCTCGAGAGTTCGACTGAGGAGGTTGAGAGCAGGAAGCGAGAGTGGTGCCTGAATCCCCAAGCAAGCGTTCTGTGCCTGCTTCGCAGTGGGAGCAGGAGGGGCACGGCAGATATCGCAAGCGTCAGGCGGAGATGCCTGCAGAGATGCTCCAAGCCAGAGTTTCGGGATCTATGCCTTCGGATGTCAGAGCAGACCCGCCGCCGGATCAGATCGCAGTTGAGGCTTCGGCACAAGCGCCGGCGGAGTCGGAGCCAGTCTCAGCGGAGGAATTTTTGAAGGAGGAAGCTGTAGACATCGATTCGGTGGTTGCTTACGAGGTCCTGGGTTCCGCGATTGAGTCGGGCGAGCAAAAAACGAGCTTATCGCTGCAGCCTCTGAGCAAGTGCGCAGAGTGTATGCACACGAAGGCATTTCTTTGAGTTCACTTGAAGTGATGCAGATCGCAGCTCTCCGAGTTGGGATTACTGGTTGCCGCGTTCGCGAGATTGTTTCTCGTGACGGCCTGTCTCGAGCAGCTCCACATTTTGGGCTGAGACCAGGCTTTGCGCTAGACCTCGCAGGGCCTCGCCCCACAGGACTCAACGCGGGCAAACAGTGGTGTTTAGACAAGGAGGAGGACATAGCAGAGCTACAGCAGTTGATTTCGGATGAGCGCCCAGCATTGCGCACAGGCAGTTCGCGGCATGACTTGTCTCAGTTGCTTGGCCTAAGACAGAGCGAGGCAGGAGCAGAACAGGTAGCATTGAGAACAGAGAAGGCTTAGAAGCAGTTCAGGGCTTGTGTTGGGGTTTACCGTAAACAACATGAGGAGCAAAGGTCTTTCTTACACGAGCATCCGGCTGGCGCAGCAGGCTGGCAGGACCAAGACATGCTGGCGCTACAGAATCTGCCTGGCGTGTATACTGTGGAAGGACCGACGTGCTACTGGCATCGGTCAGATGAATCTGGAGGCAGCGTTGCAAGGAAGAAGTCTTGCCACGGCATTTCTAGATCCAAGATGAGATTCGTCACGAACTCTCGTCCCCTGGCAGAGGCTTTGCGGCGAGGTGCCTGTGACTCAACGACAGCTGGAGTTTGTTGAAGGCTTCGCCCTGTCACAGCAAATGCAGCAGGATGGAGATCTCAGCGACTTGGACTTCAAGTACACGGGTCCTTTCTTCGCAGCCTACATTCGAGGCCGACAATGAGGAGCTTCAGGAGGACTATAGAAAGTTTTTCGACAACATCAGTGGTGAGGAGTTGCCACCTGATTTGGTGGCTAAAGCAAGCCAGGAAGAGATTTGCTGGGTTCGTTCGATCAATTTGTACGACAAGGTTCCCAGAGCAGAGGCAGCGAGCAGAGGCGTTAGACCCGTGTGCACTACAACCTTCGCAGTCGTTTTGTGGGAAAGGAGTTGAAAGCTAAAACTAAGCATGCCTTGCTAGCCCATGAATTGTTTTCCGCCATGCCGACGTGGGAAATGGTAAAATCACTCCTTTCGCTTCTGGTCACTGACGGCGTTTCCTCCGAGTCCTTGGTTCTAGGCGTGTTCGACATCAGTACTGCGCTTCATGGCTCCTGCAACTCGAGAGCTGTATTCGGAAATCCCTGATGAAGACAGAGGTCCCGGCGAAGAGAACCTTATAGGCAGATTGAATCGTAGCATGTACGGTTTTCGGGTGCTTCGCACAACTGGATGGAGGACTGGCAAGAGTTGAAGAAATTCTCTAGTCCCTTTCGAGCGGTTTGCTCCTTCTTCCGAATTCCTCGAGTCTCTTTCGAAATGCTCTAGTCTCTTTCGAGCGGTTTGCCCCGTGTTTTCCACTTCTCCAGTAGTGAAATATTTTAGCTGGGGGCCTACACTCTCACAGGACAGTTTTGGGCAAACATGCTGCCAAGCAATCTCGAATTGTGCATGTCATTGTTGCGCATGGGCCATTCGGCCGTAGCACCTCGAGACACGATCACCCCTCCTCGTTGCTGAGCCCACGTATTCGGGCTCAGTAACGTCGAGGTGTAGTGGAGCCTGGTTCCAGGGCACTCTTGACATGCATAGCCACGGGTGTTACACCTTGCTTGACTTGTGAAACACTGAAGCTTCCACGACGAAGAAGCCCATGCTTTTCATGTGTTTCTCAAGAGTTCCCTGCGACACACTCTTCGTGAGAATATCTGAGCAGTTGTCGTCGGTATGGATCTTTACGATCTGCAGATGCTTGCATCGAACGCGTTCTTGGAGCCATAGATAACGTGTCATGACATGTCGCTGCTTGCCCAAACCTCTGCGTGAAGCAAGAGCTCGAGCGGCGTTTGGGTCGCTCTGAATGACCACATCCATCTCGAGTCCCAGATCAGCAAAGTAGGAGCGCAAGCCTAAACCATGTGCCCCATGGACCAGCGCATTATACTCGGCCTCTGAAACATTCAATCCCACCGAAGTCTGGAGATTAGATCTGGACTTGACGGTAACTGCTCGAAAGGAACTAGAGAGTTTGAGGCCCGAAAGAGGCTACAGGATTTCGAAGGAGACCAGAGAGTTTGAAAACAAGGAGCAAACAGATCCAAAGGAACTAGCGACTTTCAGAAGAGGGAGCAAACCGCTCGAAGGAGTAACATTTCGAAAAAGAGACTAGAGAAGTGGAAAACAAGGAGCAAACCGTTTGAAAAAGAACTAGAGAGTTTTAGCAAAAGGAGCAAGAATTTCGAAACAGACTAAAGAAATTGAAAACAAGGAGCAAACCCCTCTTGCAGGGTTTCGTCTCAGCAGGGCTTATACATTTTTCGACTAGGTTGAAGTTTTCGGCAGAACATTCAAACTTAACGTTTTCCTGTATGTAAATTCGGATTTTCGCCCAAGGCGAGCGAAAGGCATAAATTCGGATTTTAATCCATCTGGATGCGATGTGTACACTCCGCCCGGGAGGGGAAGAAATTTGAAGGTAATCTTATCTAAATTCGAAACCTTGTCTCATCCAAGCAACGCTGTGTATTAATAATAATGACAGAAGCTTCGGGAATGATTATGGATAGTAATGTACTTTTAACGGAAAGTTCGTGTACAGGTCACGGAAGCCACGCAAAACAGTGCACTAGTCAACTTGTATTGACTCACGATGAATGCGCACTCTTGTTTCTCGCCCAGGAGAAGGCTATCTTGCTGAGTAATTTCATCTCTCGAACATTCGAGTGCTTGGGGCTGGGTGTTTGTTGCCAACACTTGCCTGGCCGGCTCAGGCACCATTTCATTTTGTTGTTTTAGGCTTGCAAAGGGTGCCGTTGCCAACAGGAGACCCACTTGGCCGGCCCTCACGTTCTGTGCCTTGAAGTCTCAAAAATGTGTTTGCTTGGGTTTTGGTGTTGTGGCCAGTACTAGGCCCGCTGGGCCACGCAAGGGCTGTTGGATGCAGCCAACACACGGCCTACTTGGCCGTTCCACAGCAAGCACAGTCGCTTTGAGGTTTTGGGATCTCGAAAATGCGTGAGTTGGGGGGTGGGTGCCGTTGCCAACACAGGGCTTCGCACTCACGCTCACCCTCACCCTCACCCTTATTCATTATTTCTTTCGTTCTCTTTCTTTCTCTCTCTCTGTCTCTCT